CAAATATTTCCACCTCATAACTTTACCATAAGCAATATATAAGAGGGTTTGTAGACACAGATTAAGCATATTCTGGATAAAACTGAATTTAAATGGAAAATCTACACATGGAAGCTCGATCTGTGTGTGGGGAAACCTTGTGGAGTTATATTGAGCTTCAGACATGCTGGCTGTGGCTGTTATGCTAAGCTAGCTGCTCGTCTACTGGCTGTAGTTTTATATTCTGACATAAAAGTGGCACATGAACAAAGTGAATGAGCACCTCTCCCAAAATGTTAGACTTTTCCTTTAAAGAGCTATAAACGGGTGAGAAATGTCAAGATTCCAAAGCATCCTGGGAAACCTGTGGTTCTTTAGTGCTGCCTTCAAAATCCTGGAAACTGAAAAAAGTTTTTTTTTAAGGTGCAATGAAATCTTGACCGGTTGGCTGGATGTAAGATGTGAAAAGATTTATTATTTTCTGGTGTCAGTGCGGCAGCTGGTTGGGGAGATTGTGTCTCTGCTCAGTGGTCACTTATGTTTTGTGGCGTTCTGAACAACCTGTAAAGGACGTCCATGGAGTCAGTGGAGAAAAACACTTACAAATCTAATGTGGATCAAAAACTTACATTTACATTCATATTGATGCACTAGTCTGCAAGCCAGGGACAGAAAATTGGGTATTTTTACAGAAACTGAGCCACTTTTCTCAGGATTCAGTCTGTCGACGCGCTCAGTGATTCCTCAAGATTTAAATAAAGGTTGAATAAAATGATGAACGAATGAAAAATGAAAATCCAAAATCGTTTTGGGTCTTAAAAAAAATCAATAAAGATGAAAAACGACGTCCCTGAAAACCACTTCGTCGAACAGCGTGGAGGCCTGAGTGTGTGTTTGTTGTACTTTAAATTGCACTCCGGCTCTTCGTCCTCCTCCTTCTGACCGAATCGTTTCATCGAAGCTGCTCGCGGTCGACGTCTAACTAATGAGACTTTGTGTGTCTTTGCTGCAGAACTCCCAGAAGAAACGAGGAGCTCGACCCAACAACAAACCCGACAAGAAGCTCGGCCAGCAGGTAACACAACGACGCACACACACACACACACACACACACACACTGCTGCTGCTGTTTGTTCCTACAGATGGTTCAGTAAATCAATAAGAGAAACAAAGTGCTGCTTCAGCAACCGGAGAATCCTAAACCTGCAGAGATCAAACATACAAACACATCATGCAGAAGGAGAGTGTTGAGCTGCAACACCTGCACGAGTTACATCTTTATTTTTCAGATTTCAGGAAATATTCAAATCCAGTCCTGCTCTATTCTTGATTCTTCTGCTTATTATAAGTCGGAGGCTGTCACGTCTGCAATATTTGGACTTCAGTGTCTTTATATTCACATCCAGCTGTCAGGAAGGGCTAAAAATATGAAATATAGATGATAGATGTCACCGTATTTCTGCTGCGGCTTTCGATTTGAACTTCGCCTCAGGCAGCTGTCACCTCGCCGGAAATGTAATCGCATGTTACCGTCGGTGAACTGTGACTTCTCCCCCCGAGTCAGCAGGTAGAGCAGAACTAGATGAACAATATCTTTATTGATTTAACACCAGCGAGCACAGACCGGTGTATGTATGCATCCATATACAAACACACAGAATTATGCATTTGACAGTAAAAAAAAAAGCAAAAACTAAAACACTTCTTAGAACAATCTCTGCCTTCTCTTCGTTTTAAACTCTCATGTGAGCATTTTTCTCCACTTTTTGCTCGTCAAACTCCCCTCGTTAGTCGTCCAAACCTACTGAACAGTTCAATCGCTGCTGTTTCTGCTTCTGTGAGAAAGTCGCTCAGAGTCAGAAGTGTTTGAGAGCGCAACAACAAAGCTCACGGATACAGATTAAAACGCTGCCAGACGAGCGTACCACCACCACAGAAGAAGAAGGGCTTTCGCTCTCTCTGGCTGCTAACAGGAGCTCGCTCTCTCCTTCCAAACCACACACACCATAAATGGCTGTAAATTCGCCGGCCCTCGCCTCAGTTAATGTGGCTGGAAACGCTCCACGGGCCGTAAAACAAATAGAGCTGCAGAGCTGCTGCTGCTGGGGAACGACTGGGTCACCTCAGGGCAGCGCTGGATACCACTGGGTCTGGGATATGAGAGAGAGAAGAGAGGTCTATCCACCCAGAAAAGGTTCATTTAGATTAATTTAGTTAGTTGGTGCTTTAAAGCTGCGTTAACCCTTAGAGGTCTTGGCCTGTTTTTGCATACTTTTACTTTTGCCTTTATAACCCACATAGGAACATGTTCACCGTGACCATGTTTGGTGTCTTTTCTTTCAGCACAACATCACCGATATGATCCGACTAATATTTTTTCCACTTTAACCAACTATGTTAACATTTTGGGCTCAAAAACACACAAAAAATAAAAAAATCCAAATTGAAAAAAATTATTATTTATCATAATAAAAACCACAAACAAGCTTAACGAAGCATTTTGAAGGTTGAAAATGTAACCATATAAATTTGAAAAGATAAATTTGATATAAAATCAAACTAAATACAAATATTTGCAGCTATATACAAAGCAGGTGTGGCTTTCTTGTGGCTTTCTTTCTCTTTTTATCGATGCCACTTCTGGAAATCGCTTCCGTCCACAATGAGGCAGACAGCCACATCACAGCAGCTGCACTTCCACGAACTTTCTTTCACTTTGTTTTTTAAAACAACAAATAATGAAGATGTTGAAAGAAATGCGACGCCCACAGCCTATATTTCATACGCCTATATTTTACACAAGTTTTTTTTTCACGTATGTTCATAACATCATATCTGCGGTTATATGTGGTCGATCGGCATGAAACAAAAACTGCAAGAGAGTTTAAAGTCTGAACTTTAAGTTGACGGCATCACCGTATGTTTGCTCGTTTTTCTATCATGCCGTCTCGAAAATGTCATATGATTATATCATGACAGCGTGGTGGTGGACCTCTAAGGGTTAACTGATTTTTGGCCACTGAAGAGCAGAAAGACATCACAGCAAGCTGACAGAAACCTCAGAAGTCTATGTAAAATCTGGTCTTAACTTCCGGGTCTTGAAAGTGAAGTAAATACGCAAATGCCTTTAACTTGCGTTCTTTTCAGTGGCCACCAGGGGGCGACTCCACTGGGTCCAAAAACTAGCCATAAGCCATGTCCCGATTCAGAGGAAGCATCCTTCAACGTATGGATCCTTTGAAGGACGCAAAGGATGCATCTAGTTAAATAGTCTTGTTAAATGAGCCGGTCTAGCTCACGACGGACTTCTTGCTTGCGTCGTTAAATCCCGTAATTTTTATCCCAAGGACAAGGACAAGACAGCGTTGTAATTTTTTGACTGAAATGGATCCCCAAATTGTGATTTCTGTTTTTAATATTTTGTTGACGTGTAGGCTTCAGATGTGTGCAGCAAAGTGAGTGAGAACCAGGAAAGAAATACTGAAAAAGAAGATTTGGTTGCAAAAAAAGAAATGCCGCACGTTTAATAGAATGAGATCAGATTTATAGATGAGACTTCATTAATCCTAAAGGAAATTCTTGTGGCAGATATTGCAAAACATTACATAATGTTAGAAAAGCAGTTCTGAGAAGAAAACTACAAGTACGATACATCACTCAAAATAAAAATAAGCACACTAAAATACGAGGAGAATAGAAAAAATGAAAAGTAATGCAGACAATAATTCTGAGGTAGTAAAGTTTAACCCATGATGAAGAAATGTTGCATTCGTAATTGAAGTGTCACACATGATAAAATAAATGTTACACATGAAATTCGAATATTAAAAATGATGTATTGCTCGTTACACTGACATCATTAATCACGTTCCAGATTCTGGCTTCGCACAATTAAAATAAACATAATCAATTTTGACAAATAACGTTCAACATCTGCCTCAAGACTTCAGTTTACAACCATTTGGTGACTCCACAGAGTCTGTAAATGTTGTTAACATGGTAGAAAACTGTGGCCTGCTTCCACATCCAGCAGACACCAGCAACATTATCCAAGTCAGATATCCCCTCTTCTCTGCTGGATGCTGTCCCTTCTTTAACTGACCAAACTCACAGATCTTCTGCTGCAGCTTTACTCGGTCGGGTTTGACGTCAGCTTATGGTTGAGCTGCTAATACCACAGACATCCTGACTGCATCTTACAATGTGTTTGCATTCACCTTTATTCCTCTGCAAGTGTTTCCACTGCTGCAGTTTATTTGTGAGCTACTTTTAGGCTTCTGGCTCTTTATTCTTTATCCCAGTGCGTTAGTAAATAATCTTTTCAGATGACGACGTCTGCGGTGAACCACTAATGAGCGTGTTTGCTCGACTTCCTTTTCTTCTTCGTTTTTTTTTTAAAACCAAACAAGGAACAACCTCAGCGTGACTCTGACTCGACCTCACCACAGGCCGGTTGAATAGATATCTATCATTATTTTTTTAGGTTCAAGGCTTCAAGGTTTAAATAGAATAAAAAAGGCAACGCATGCTGGTTGAGCTGCAGGACTGTCATGGGTTGAGGTTTTTGTCCAACTGATGTCCGAAATACAGAAACGTGCTTCACTCGTGACCTCTGATGTCGTCCGTTTGTGAGCAGATTTCAACCTGAGCAGCTCCGTGCATGAGGAGATGCCAGCGCTCGGCTCGTTGTCTGCGTTTATCCTCGTGTCGGCAGCTTTGACTTCCTCTGAGCGTATCCGTCCTGTCAGGTTGTCTGTGTGACCTCCGTCCCAGGACACGCTGCCGTCCTCTGGGTTGTGTTTTACCAGAACGCCACAGTTCAGATCCGTCACCTCTCATCAACCCTCAGTCTGAGTTTAAAGAACAATCATGTGTTTGTTTCTCACCGTTTTCAGATTTAATTTCTCTGTTTGAATGTTCTTAAATTAGACCAGTGAGACGGTGATTATCTCTTTTTTAAATTTATGTAACACATATATAATACACATCAAGCACAGATGAGTAGATTTTGAATACATTTGGGTGTAATGATTTTTTTTTTGTATAAACTTTATTGGTCTCTTTGAATGTACAAAAAACAAACCAGAAATGTTGCACAGACATTTTCTAAGTGTCGAGGTAGCTCTAGAACAAAGAAACACCAACACAGAGGAATAACAAACAGAATAACAAACAGAATAACAAAATACGATGTGGATCTCAGTCAAGCAAAATAAATAATTCCATCAAGGAAAAAAAGTCTTTGGGTGTTTTTGTTTTTCATATAGTGAAGAGATTTTGTGAATGTTCTGAGTTCCATCCATTAAAATGGGGTTTAGTCTTTGTATGAATAAGATGTTTGGCCAACAGGATCAGGTAGAAGAAAGTTTCTCTCCTCCAACATTACACCAGTTTTAATTAAGCTCATATTTACACTCAGAGGCCTGACGAGGATCTTCATTAATCCGTCTGTGAGCTTCACACTGAGTCTAAATTATATCAGAGTTTTACAACAACTTCAGTAAAATTATGAATTCTTCCATGAAGCTCATACATTATTGGAACAATTTCCACATTTGTTCATTTTTACTCGTCTAAACTCCAAACAGCTTCCAGGCGTTTTTGGTTCTTCACGTTTTGCTCACTGTGGGCTCATGAAGAAAACTTTAAATGTGTTCATAAATCTTAAATCTTAATTATATTTTTTTAAAAGCCAAAGTTAACAAAAAAAAAAACATGCAATCAACATCTACAACATTTTCCTCATACCCACAGAGCATTAGGGGGGAAAAGGTGACCTGCATACTAAAGCTATTTTACTGCTTTTTTACTGTTTTACTCTATTTTAATTTGCTTGCATGGTTGCCTCTATCTGCTGTAAACACTGCCTGAAGTTCAGCTGAGAGGTCCCTGAATGTTTGTCAGGTGACTGTTGCTGAGTCACTAATGGCTGATCAGTTGTGTTGAAGATTTCTTGTGTGCTTTGTCGAGTTACTTAACCCTTTATAGGGCCCTCCTTGAGATACTTGGAAAATGAACATTTCAACCCTAGGGTGTTGTTGAAGGATATTTCAAGATATTTTTACTTTTGTGACTTTAAAAAAATAAATACTGCAAATCAAGATGAATAAAGTTGCCATACATGGTGTTACGCCCAGCCTAGTGGTACCTGAACGCACCATGACTATGCCATCCTTCACCGGCCTCAAGCAGCCACATGATTTTATAGGAATAATAATAATGTATTTATAATGAAAGTGATTTTGAAACAAAGTTGATGGTTAACCAAAAACAACCTCAAGGTGACGTATAACTTAAATAAGAGTGAGCGCTACCAAAGCGACACTAAGCTGTTGGAGTCCCGACTTACCTACCAAAATAAAAGTGGCACGATTAAATACCAAGTCTGGCCTCCCCCTCTGACTTAAACAGCAGAAAGTGGAGTTCAATGCAAACCAAAAACAATCGTTTAGAAAGTGCCTGGAGCATTTGTTTAAGGTGGTGATGCTGGCACTAATATAAAAACTAAATCAAAGGTTCTTCAACCTTAAGGTGAGGCACAGGGCGGACATGTTGGAAGGAAGTTACCAAATATGGTCACCTGCCCCGTAAGGGGTTAACAGTTTTAAATAGGACACAAAGAATAAAGCTATTTTCATTAAATGTTGAGGTTTTAAGATTAGATTTAATTATTTTTTTGGGATAAAACACAAACTCTGATGCGTCTTCCTGTTTTTCCAGCGATAAATATCACTTCGGCGACTTTTTAAAAAAAAACAAGATGCCTTTCAAACCTTTTACTGCCGAGTTTGTGGGTTGAAAAACTGAATAGATTTAATTTTTGCACAAGTTTGATTCAAGTGGAGAGTACAGTGATCTGTGGTTGGAGGACGGTGATGTTTGGAGTCCTGATTGCCGTTGAGGAGGTTTGCATTATTCATAGAGGAACACGTCTGTGCTCTCTACACTGTAATCAGTGTGTCATACATCATCAGTGGCTTTCTGGTTCCTCCTACTCAGATTGTTTTTCAGTTAATTGATTAATTGTTTAATGCATCTCTGAACAAAAAAAAGAGTTTATGAGGATTCACTGGTCAGGTGACGGTGCTGCCTTTGCGTGATGTGTTTGCACCCGTCAGCCTCCCCGTGATGCAGCAGTTTTTCGTATCGCTGTCGACCCATCGCCCTCTTTTCATTCTGCAGGAGGACAGTTCGGACCTGAAGTGTCAGCTCCACTTTGCCAAAGAGGAATCAGCGCTGATGTGCAAGAAGCTGACCAAGCTGGTGAAGGACAGCGAGGCCATGAAGGAGGAGCTGGCCAAGTACAGGTCGCTGTACGGGGACGTCAACGCCTCGCTCACCGTGGAGGAGGTGAGGACGGAGGAGGAGGAGGAGGAGGTTTCCCAGAGATTCACTTTGTCTCTGTCACATGCTGATTAATGAGCACTGACGATATAGCGGCGACTGAACGAGGGCGTGAGAGATTTAAAAGCTCCCGAACTCTCAGAACGAGGGGGGAATGAGTGCATTTTGATTTCCAGCAGTCCATTTAGCGAGGCCACTTTTTTCTTTCAGAGGGCTGAAATTGTGCAAAATCTGCCAGTTAACCTCGCCAACCGCTGCACCAAAACAATGCCCAGTTTCTGCAGAAAGAAAACACTGGTTTTCCTTTGTTTTCAAACCATTTAAATCTTAATTATTTAAAGTTGAGGGCTGTAAAATGGTTGTTCCCATATTAAAAACCCTCAAAGGCACATGTTTTCTCTGGGAATAAGAAGAAAAAAGCCTGAGAAAGCTCTTCAGAGGACACAGAAAACACTTTTTGAGCCGTTTTTCTAGTACAGAAAACGAACCGTTAAGCTTTTCAGTGAGCACAATGCAGTGAGTGATTCCCTTCTCTGTTACTATCAGTTGGTTTTCAAGTCATTTGTGTGATATTTTACTACTGGTACAGCTTGTAAATTCAGTCCTTGAATTTTTGCCGCTTTACCGATAGTCGTAGCTCAGTCGCTGTTGGCTTTGTAGATGTGCCGAGGAGCACAGAATTTTTATTTTTTTTTTACAGAAATGGATTTGTGTAAATGGTTTGATTTAGGTGAATTTTTAAAATGAGACGTTTTGTTAAAATATCACAATTTTCGGTTCAGATTTGGTTAATTTTCTAGATGGAGCTGCACATTAGACACGGCTAGAAAGCTCAAAATCAGACAAATCTTTCTGTTTCCACCTGATAAATCGTCAACTTTTTAAGATTTTGTGCAGTAAGTAACAAGAAAAATACAAGTTGAATTTCTTTGATTATTTACTTCACATAAACTAACAAAAAAGTTCTCACAGGTGTCACCAACACTGAGGGAAACGTCCTTATATTGAGGGTCCGAGCACTAACAGCGCAAGAACCCTTTTGAAACCCTTGTGATTATTATTATTATTATTATAGTATGCCATCTTTGATTGCATTTTTGAGGGCCTGAACGTTCTCAAAAACTGGCGAAAATTGGAAACTATCAGGGACGTGGACATGTCACTGCCAAAATGCCTCCACAGAGTCCCATCGGAACCACGTTCGGTCTAGAGCTACGACATTTGGTCGGCATATAGAGCAGGTCGGGACGCATAAAAAACTTGACCAGCGCCAAGCTCTAAAATGTAACACAGCTCAACTGCGCCACCTTAAAAATTTCAACAGAGTCCCATCGGGGCTACGTTTCACTTACAGCTACGAAAATTGGTACGCGTATGTAGCAGCTCGGGACGCACAAAAAAGTCCATCAGCATGTTTACGTAAACCCAACAGGAAATCCGCCATGTTGGAGAAACGGCGAGAATGTCAGGCGATTTTCCCTCATTTTTGACCATTTTCAAAATCTATCTCCTCTGAGCACGTCTGCACCAACAACCTGACGTGCGCAAAGGCCAACAATCGTACGGCTTTAATTTTGAACTGGTTTGCACAGTCGCCTGTGTCTGCTCTGTGTAAACACTGCCTACAGTTCAGCTGAGACGTCTCAGGCGACTGATATTAGCACTCACGTAGCTAATGGCTAATCGATTGTGTTGAATAATTGTCTTTATGTTTTTTGTGGTGTTACTGCAAACCGTTTAGGGGCGTTTTTAAATTAACATGTAGAATAAAGTGATTCAAATGGTTACTTCAAAGAGCGTTGAGAAGATCAACTATCAAGCAAAAATGCTGAAAACACGACTGGTTCTCTGACTACAATGACCTTTCTGACCTTTCTGTAATGAATGAACATGTGGGAGGTGTTTAGCTGCTCCCCACCTCCTCGTATCCGTTTCATTGACTCCCCCTCTCCCTCCCCCAGGTCGCCGACTCCCCCCACACCCGGGAGGCGGAGATCCGAGTCCACCTGAAGCTGGTGGAGGAGGAGGCCAACCTGCTGAGTCGGCGCATCGTGGAGCTGGAGGTGGAGAACCGAGGGCTCCGAGCCGAGATGGACGACATGAAGGGGCCGCAAGGTAACTCATCATTTATGACCGGGATTCATGTATCAGAGATTCGAGTTGCTCTGCAGGTGAAAATAGTCTTCAGTCAGCAGGTAGCCAGACCGAATTAAAATTCTGTTACAGCAGAATGTGCAGTTGACCCTCCTGAAAGCCCGAGAAGTTCCACAGTCGCCTTTTTAGTCACTGTGGGTTCATTTAAGTCCTGCACCTCAAACAGTCATGGCTAGAAGAGAGAACTTAGAAATGTCTTTTACCTGTGTAACGAAGTTCTAAGGCCATAAATCATTAAAAGAAGGAAAAAAATGAAATTCCCTGATTACTTATTTTACAAAAATTGAAAAACCTGGAATCAACATGTACAAGTGTTACTGATCCTGGAAACATGGTGACTCTACAAACGATAGATCTTATGGCTTCACTGATGAAACATCCTCATTTTTTCCTCCAGATGGTCCTCAGGAACTGGGCGGTGTTGGCGGCGGTCTGGGGGCGGGGCTTGGCCTGACAGGCGGAGCCATGGTTCTTGGGGGAGGAGCCTCATCTGAAAACGTCATGGAGCTGCAGAGACACCTGCAGTTTGTGGAGGAGGAGGCGGAGCTGCTGAGGAGGTCTCTGATCGAGATGGAGGAGCAGAACAAGCTCCTGATGAACGAGATCAACCGCTACAAGTCCGAGCTGCCGCCGCCGGCCTCCACGCTGTCGTCCAACTCGCTGCTGGCTCTGACGGACGGGCTGCTGAACGACAGCCCGGTCCACTCCATACAGGAAGGGGCGGTGCTCATCAGCACCGACACGCCGGCCCCCGAGGAGGAGCTGCGACTGGCCCGGCTTCAGATCGGGGAGCTGAGCGGGAAGGTGAAGAAGCTGCAGTACGAGAACCGAGTGCTTCTGTCCAACCTGCAGCGCTGCGACCTGGCCTCGTACCACACACCTTCATCGTCCTCCTCCTCATCCTCGCTCAGACTGGCTCTGGAGACGGACGCCGAGGCCGGAGACTCTGCCGAGTGCCTCCCAACCAGGTAAACTCACATTTTCTTTTCCCTTTGCAGCATTTGAGGGTAAAACTGCAGATGTTGCTCTAAAGAGGACTCCTCAGTAAAAGTATATTTTATCATGCATACACTTGTTTACTGATGAGAACACAGGCGAGACACAACTTTTGATTTCTAATTGGTAGAAATAAAAGACTCCTCAAATTCAATAGAAGAACCACAGATGAATGAAAGCACCTTTATACCAGCAGAGTCTGAGTGGTTTAGAGGCCACATCAGTTCCTCACCTTCAGCTGAACACATCAACAAGGTGTTTGGGGAAAAATATAATTCTGTCAGTTTGTTTTGATTTGCCTAAAAAAAAAAATCAGCCTTCCAAGACTGAATCCTCTGACCTCCAAGCAGTTTGTTTTGTTCTCCTGTAACCTTCTGACTTCTTACTCATTCTTCACGGCAATATAAAGTTCAGCATCTCGATGGAAGCGGCTCAAAGTAGAGAGAACATAAGAATATATCTTCTGTGCAGAACGACAAGCCTAAAAGGCCCTAAATGATAAAAAAGAACAACACTAAAGTTGCATTTCCTAAATTGAAAAAACCTGCCCGGCGGTGTATCAGGGAAAAGATTGAAGAAAAAGATCAAATTCAAATCAAACTTTATTGATACAGCACTTCTCATACAAAGAGCAGCGCAAAGTGCTTCACAGCATTAAAAGCATTCACCATTAACCATTAACATGAATGTCTGTACCACATTACACAGCAATCCATTCAGTAGTCTGGATGTTTTAAAGAACTCGAGCCTGTGAAAGGTTTCAGTGATTTTATCTGCATCTCATAACTCAGACAAATCATCTCAGTAGTACAGAGCTGAGGAGCAAGAATCACTCAGTCATCCTCTAAAAGTGGAGTTTACCCAGTTTTTACAGAAGTGTAGTTATTCAGGTCAACGTCGATGTCCAGATCTCAGCTGTTACAGCCGACGTAGACAGAAAGCTGTGAAAAAGTTCTGTGTGTCTGCGTCAGCCCGCCTCATCGCAGAGAGCCAGTCGGAGGCGAGAACGACGCCCTCGAGATGAAGGACCAGAAAAAGAAGATCGAGGACAACGCTGACGCTTCGCTCCCCGGGCGCCTGGGGCAGAAGGACCATGATGCCTTGCTGGCCATGAGGGACCAGGCTCGCTTGGTTTCCACGGCGATACAGCTCCTGACCTCCCCCGAGTCCAACTGCCTCTCGTCCTCCCCCTCCATCTACCACAAGGTGTGCAGCAATGAGGCGGCGGAACCGTGCGACCTGGAGAAACCTCAGCCTCACGCCCAGGTAACCGCCTCGGCTCCCGTCCGCTTTTCTGTCACGTTTAACCTCCTGCAAACTTAGAGAACGGCACTTTTTAAAAACTTAATTCTGCATGAACCCAGAAATTGCACCTTTAGTTAAATATTACATTGAAAAGACTTAAAAACACTAACATCCCCTTGATGAAGCAAAATGATGTGTTTTAGATTTTGCAGTCTTTTTCCAGAACATGTGCATAGACCCTGTAGATACTGTAGATACTAGATCTAAAAACAAGTTTTATATATATATTATATATTGTCAATTAATGTGCATTAACAGAAGGCCTGTGATGAATATTTTTCTTGACTGATTAACCCTCTGAACCCCAAACACTTTCCACTTTTTTTTGTCACATTTTTAATCACTGTCGGCTCATTTTTCTCTAAATTTTCTCGTCTTTGATTCACATGAAGTAGAAACTACCAGAGTGAGGAGCGTATTAGCTTTATTAACAAATGTCTTTCGCAGCCCTGCAGCTTGTGATTTATCAGCTCCAGCTTCACTCTGACCGACTGCGAGATAAATCCTCTCCTTTCTCCTCAGATCTCCGAGCTGTCCGACCTGTCCGACCGTCCTCTGGTCGGAGCTCTGACCAGCAGGCTCCAGGCCCTGCACACCCAGCTGCAGGCCTTCGTGGAGCGGGTGGACGGCCTGGGTAAACCCCCGGCAGGCGGGAGGGACGCTCAGGTGGAGCCTCCACCCTGCGCCTCCATCACCTGCTCCGGAGACGGTCAGGACGACCAGAACCGGGCGGCGGAGAAGGTAAAAAAGAAAAAACAAGAAGAACCATGCTCCTCTTCACTCCCTGTCACTCCTTCTCTTTCATTTAGTCTCTTTTTCTTTTACGTTTGTTAGATTTTTATTTCCTGCCGTCTTTAGTTTATTTCTCTGTTGCTTCCGGTTTTGTTTCCGTTAGTTTGGCCGACCAACACTCCCAATCCCATCTCAACACGCAGCGAGGAAGAAGTTTACACAGCCGGCCCAAATCTGAACACATGAAATAAAATCCTTTTTATCTGTTGTTATAACCTGAAGTGTCTCCTATCTGCACCTCTGTGGAAACAACACAACCACCACTAGAAGTAGAGAGAATTTAATATT